ACTTTCCTTTCTTGACCAGGAACTATAAACCCTTCTGGTTGTTCCATGTAGATCTCTTCTTCTAGATCTCCATTAAGGAAAGCTGTTTTCACATCCATTTGATGTACTTCTAAGTTCCGTAAGGAAGCTATTGCAAGTATCATCCTAATGGAATTTATCCTTGACACAGGGGCATATGTATCAAAATAATCAAAGCCCTCACGTTGATTGTAACCCTTAATTACAAGTCTTGCTTTGTACTTATCAATGGAACCATCGGGTTTCATTTTCCTCCGAAAGATCCACTTAGAACCTAACGGTTTGCATCCAGGAGGTAGATTCACTAACTCCCAAGTGTGATTCTGCATAATAGAATCAACTTCACTTTTAATTGCCTCTTTCCACTGAGGGCCTTCAGACGAAGTCACTGCTTCACGAAAAGTTCGTGGTTCATTTTCTAATAAACATGTTAGAATATCGGGTTCAGTCTCTATCAGAAATGATAGAGTCCCCGATTCAAATTCCAACAAATAAGTTAGAAAATCATTACCAAAGGACTTCTTAGTCCGTGTCCTTTTACTTCGCCTAAGTTCAGTCTCAGTTTCGGTTTCATCAATTATACCGGTATTAGACTGATCCGAGGAATCATCGTTCAACATTTCATCATGTGAACGTTTGGAAGAACTTGCTTCTTCCCTCGACTTTAATGGAAATATATTTTCGAAGAATGTTGCATTCCTCGATTCCATAATTGTATTCTTATGTATTTCTGGATTATCAGACCTATACACTAAGAATCGATACGCGCTACCACTGTAGCCAATAAAGATTGCATCAACGGTCTTTGGACCAATCTTTATTTTCTTTGGTGGTGGTGCTAAAACTTTTGCAAGGCACCCCCACACTTTCAGGTATTTATAAGAAGGTTTCCTATTATACCACAACTCGTAAGGAGTCTTATCGAGTTTCTTTCGGGGTATTTTATTTAACAAATAATTGCTAGATAAAATAGCCTCCCCCCACATATTTTGGGGTAGCCCCAAACTAAGCAACATCGCATTCATCATATCTTTGAGAGTGCGATTTTTCCGTTCCGCCACACCGTTTGATTGGGGTGTGTATGACGGAGTTACCTGATGCACAATTCCATGTTGTGCACACAATTCGGCGAATGGAGCTTCGTACTCCCCGCCCCTATCACTCCTAATCGCTTTAAGTTTGCGATTGAGTTGATTTTCTACTTCATTCTTATATCGAATGAAAGTGTCCAACGCCTCATCTTTACTTTTAAGTAAATAAATATAGCAATACTTCGTGCTATCATCGACAAAAGTGATAACATATTTGTTACCACCTCTTGAAGGCGTTGATTTAAAATCACACAGATCCGTGTGAATTAAATCCAGTGGCTGAGTGGTTCGTTCAATTGTTTGAAACGAACTTCGTGTTGACTTTGCTTCGACACACGTCTCACATTTGTGCGACATGTCGATATCAAACTTAGGGATATATTCCATGTTAATTAATTTTCGAAGAGACGTATAATTAACATGTCCTAGTCTTCCATGCCACACATTAAAAGACTCACAAACATAGGCAACAGGAGTTTTATTAATTTTCTCAACAACAGTGAGTACATTAAGCTTAAAAAGCCCATCAGAAATATAACCTTTGCCTATGAATATCCCCTTTTTGCTCAAGATTAGCTTATCAGACTCGAACACCATGCGGAATCCATGTTTGTTCAGTAGTGAGCCTGACACCAAGTTTTTCCGTATGTCTGGCACATACAACACATCATTCAGGGTGAGCTCCTTGCCGGATGTCATCTTGAGCTTCACTTTGCCCACGCCTTGAACCTCAGATCGGGCAGAGTTTCCCATCCACACCTTGTCGCCAGAAGTCTCCTTAAAGTCAAAGAGCATGGCCCGATTGGAGCAGATATGACGAGTGGCCCCGGTGTCAACCCACCACTCTTTCGGGTTAGACCCGACCAGGTTGACCTCTGTCACGACCGCACAAAGATCCATAGCATCTAGCTCCGAGCAGAGAGCTTCTTCCTTCTTCTGCTTCTTCTTCTGAGGCTTCTTTCGGCACTCTGAAGAACGGTGGCCCGTAATACCACAGTTGTAGCATTTCCCAGCGAACTTAGTCTCCGCGACGCCTCCTTTAGGACCAATTTTCTTCTTGTCCTTATTTGGCTTGGGCCCTTTGGAAGAACCCTCTTTGGGTGGATGCTCCACCACATTGGCCTTAGCAGCAGCTACTTTCTTCTCGCGAATGAGACCCTCCTCACGGATCCGGAGACGAACAAGTAACTGTTCTAAAGTCATCTCTTTCCGTTTGAGCTTAAGATAGCTCCGGAACTCATCCCAAGTCGGCGGGAGCACATGAATAATTGCCGCCACTTGGAATGCCTCACTGACTCCCATTCCCTCATCAGTGCACTCATTAAAAATGAGAATCAATTCTTCAGCTTGACTGACCACGGGTTTGGAATCCACCATCTTAAAATCCAAGACCTTACTGACAACGAATTTCTTCGCACCGGCGTCCTCAGCCTGGTATTTGTTGGACAGTGTAGCCCATAACTCCTTTGCGGATGCAGCCATGCTATAAACAGCATATAAGGCATCGCTCAAGCAATTCAGGATAAGGTTAAGGCACATATAGTTATTCGCTATCCATGCCTCTTTAGCCTGAATTGTTGGCTCGTCCGCATTCTCCCCCACAACAGGAGGATCCTCCCTCAAGTACCTCGCAAGGTTGAGGGTGGTCAGCCAAAATAACATCCTTTGCTGCCATATTTTGAAGCCAACACCTGTGAACTTTGCCGGTTCTTTGACAGAGTTTGCAGGCAGCATGACAGTAGGATGTCCGACCGGCGCGGATGTGAAGACACCCGTGTTCGGTCCAAGTGAGGGAATGACCGGTATGGCCGAAGCCATATTCGGTCCGAGTGGGGTGACCATTGCGGCCGTAGCCGCGGTTGGTCCAATAACTGAGGTGAACGGAGTGGACCCCATGGCCGCACTTGATCCAAAGGGAACGTTGATCGAAGTGGTCTGCCCAACAGAGCCACCCAATCCAGCCGAAACGTTCACAACCGGAGTCTCGGAACTACTCCCGTTTCCGGTGTGAGCGTAAAAACCGAATCCGTCCATACCCGCCATCGTGCACGGATATGACTATTACCTTAAGCTTGTTAGAAATGATTGTACAGTTTACAATAGACGGGAAGAGGAACGGTCCCGGAAACTAAAAGAAATAAAATAATCCGAATTTATAATTTTATTCGGATTAAATACAATAAATAAAATAAAATTAGCTTCCAATCTTCAAAGGCCTTCTTTGACAATGAGGACTTTGTGCACTGAAAAGAAGCAGCGAACTGGGACGTAGAACTCGAGAATAAAATCTGCAAAGTAGAACACTGTAGAAAGGCAGCGGAGTCGCCGGAGTTGTCCTTAAGGTAATAGTGCCCGCCTACCGTACTGGAGAACGTGGGCACTTTCCTCCCATGATAAAACCGATATCATGTGTAGTGGTTGTACGGACCGACTGCACACCAACGAACAAGAACAACGTCGGAGTATTGCTGACTAAAAAAAATGTTGAAGAGGATGGCTTGAAACTTTGGCAAAAAACTAGAGCTTTTGCACTCACAAAGTTTTTTTTTCCTTTTTCCTTTCTTGTTCGTAAAACCCAAGGGGAAACAAAAAAAAACTTTTTATAACAAGGAGGCCATCTTCTCTCTTCTTGTGTGTACGTATATATCCAAAACCAAGAAGCATGAAAGGCCATTTAACATTTAATGCAATTAACATGTGCCTTCATTTTTTATAAGAATTGAAACGGATCAATTCTTTATCATGGGTATAATGACACTCATCAATAATCATAATGATTATATCAATTATGTACATTATTATCAACCGTTGGCATACACGTTAGTTTAAAATTTGTTNAACAGGTTGTAAAAATTTGAAAATAATAAATATTTTCTTCTACTCAACAGTTCATTTGAGAATCAATTTCTCATTCACCCTCTACCATTTTTGGCGTATAAATTATCAAAATATTTATCTCATTTAAGAGAACACACGTCCATTAATTAACGGTTAAAACCGTTAGTGGACCTATTGACAAATATACCCAAGTTGGTCCATTTAATGCCTACTAAAATGCCAAAAATTCCAACAGCATATCCACGAGCCCATCATTCATTGGTGGAAGAGACATTTTTTAGAGTAAAATGAGAAAGATGAAGATAAATTGAAAGGGAGAGTGAGATGAGATTAAATGAGGAATAAATTAGAAATTGAGAAATGATTAATCCTTTATCCTTTATATATAAATTTGAGACTCCTAACTCTAAGAATTTAACATGTGGTTCTTTAAAATAATGACATCTGGCGATATCTATATGTCATTATTTTGGGACAAGTTTTCATGTATTTAGGTAAAACAATCAAAAAATTTAAATAAAAAATTAATTAGAAATTATCTTTTAATCCTAAATATTCTTCTCTCTTCCTCCTTGGCTTTTGGCCGTTTCTTCCCCTCCCTCTTGACTTGTCTTCTTCATCTTCTTCTCTAGACTCTTCATCTTCTCTAATTTCTTAATCTTTTGCCTTCATCTCATACGTTCTTGTATCAAATGAGGTTTACATTGAGATAATAATAAAATTTTCACCTTATCATTTCATGGATACGCTTTCTCTTTTATATTTGAGTAGTTTCTGTTTCTTTCTACTTTTTCATTTCATTTTGCTCTTCTTTTTATTAATTATTTCATTTTCCTTACCTCATTATTTGCTTGAATGTCGCGATAAGAATTTCCTTTATTTTAGAAAAAATGATATGTGTAATTTGAGACTGATGAAGTACATAATATTTTTTTCATTTATTACTTAATTAAAACGTAAAAATTTTTGAATTTTTAAAGAATAAAAAAATAAAAAATATTTTTAAAAAAAGATAAGAAAAAAACAAAAATAAAAAAATGAACAAAATAGGTTCTAATGCCCATGTAGTTTAGAAAATGGGATCAAACTTCAACGCAGTCTAGGAGCGTGAAATACAAACATTGAAATTTGACTGACAGAGGAGACATAATGCCACCTTTTGAAACCAGGGATATTTTATATGTAATTTTTGAATGAATAAGAAGAAATGAAAGGCTTTAGAAAAAATAAAAAGAAATTGAAGAAACTAACAACATTTACTTCATAGTTTGAAAAAAAGAATTAGATGTTAGAAGAGATTTAAAAAAATGGAAGTAATTAGAAGGAAGTAGAAAAAAATGGAATGAACATGAAAAAACTAGAAAAAGCTAGAAAAGACTCGAAAAACTAAAAGAAATATGAAGAAACTAATAAATTAGAAAGAGTTGAAAAAAAGTTGAAAACTTTTAGGAAAAAATAAAATAAAAATTGGAATAAATATTATACTTGTGAAATAACAAAAATGAAAAATAAAATCATAACAAATGTTAAATTTATACTTTTATATAAAAGTGTAGTGGAATTCCATCTAGAATCCTTGATTCTTTTCGAGTTCTCCGCTTAAGAGTATAATGTAATTCACATATCTAGACTTATTGGAAAATATGAAAGATTATACTTTCTTTATGAATAAAGCGTTATTAGCACCCACGTTTGAAATTGTTGAAATGATCAATGAATTGATTAAAAGGAATATTTGAATTCTGATTCTTCATATCAAGCAGATTCAGATGTAGGCATACATGATGATTGGATATCGACTGAGTTTTTGAACAATATCAATCAAATGTTCTGGAATTCCGAACCACAAAATAGTTTTAAAGAAAGGAGTACCGATCATGTTATTGACAAACATTGATCAAACATTCGAGCTGTGTGATGGTACAAGGTTAATCGTTGAAGAGTTGCAAAAAAACGTTATTAGTGCAATTGTTGTATCAGGAAATAATGTCGGGCAGAAAGTTTACACACAAAGAATGAATTTGATACCGCCTGATCCTGGATTACCATTTAAGCTTCAAAGAAGGTAATTCCCAATATTTTATGTTTTGCCATGACTATCAATTAGAATCAAGACCAAACATTGTCATTTGTTGAATTATTTTGATAGAATTCGGGATGGTTATGGACAATTAGATTGGGTAATAAGATACTTGAGTTGAACCACATTAAAAGATTGAATCCAATCAATTAGTTAGTTCAACTCAAGAGCTTATATACCGATTATTTTCCTCACACTTTTCCGATGTGGGATACTCTTAACACTCCCCCTCAAGTGGACAACCGGGCCATTTTGAATCTAACCGGTTAACCACTTGCAAATGAACTCTCATTCCCTTGACTTTTTTTTAGCGTCAACACCTAAAGGACCACGAGCCGCTGGGTATGGACTCCCAGACGAGCAATCGTGTTAAACGGGCCACAGACTTTTGAGTACATACTCCATACGGACAACTGGGCTAAAGACTAACGGGCCGCTAGGAATGAACGTCTAGACGGACACCTTGATAAACGAGGTGTGCCAAAACTAGGCTCCGATACCATGATAGAATTTGGGATGAGTATGGACAACTAGATTGAGTAATAAGATACTTGGGTTGAACCACATTAAAAGATTGAATCCAATCGATTAGTTAGTTCAACTCAAGAGCTTATATACCGATTATTTTCTTCACACTTTTCCGATGTGGGATACTCTTAACATATTTTTTTTACCAAATCAATATTCACTCACGGTTAAATTTATATTGTAGTTTCAGGAGTGAAAGTAAAAGCATGATTGAAAGTGTTAGTTTTAGATAACAACGGCAGCGTTTGCAACCTCCCCAAAAATATGGTCTACTCCAAAGTTTTCCAAAAGATTTAGATTTAAATTATACATTTACATGTTCTTTTCGATTTATATATAGATAAATTTCGGTTAGCAAATGTTTATGGTATATCATTCATCAAAATTCTAAAGTTTAATATTATATTTTGCTCGATTTTTTAATCATTAGCTAAGAAGAAAAAAATAACCTAGTAAAAAATGTATTCATTCGATCCCCTACGTGGAACGGGTAAAAATATTACTCCGTAGTTTACATATAATACGGACCTATTGAAGAATTTGAAAAGTTATGCTTTTTATTGATAAAACACTATTAACACTCACTTCAAATGTTGTTGGATTCGTAAATAATTATTTGTAGGGGAGGTAAATAAATTTATAGTTAATGTCTCTTATTCTTAATGATGAAAAAATACTTGAGTTCTGATTCTTCATATATCATATAGATGCAGATGTAGATGTCAATGGCGATTGGTTATAGTTAAGTTTTTGAATCGGATCAAATATTCGATAATACAAAACCACAAAATAGTTTATTTTGAAGAGTGGAGTACCAATAATGTAATAAAGTTACAAAAAAATATCATTGGCGCAAAAATAGTAAAGAAAACACTCAAAATATGACCAAAACATAGAGAAAATATGAGATTAGGAGTTTCATATTTTTAATCTCCAAATAAGAGTTCCCCCTTGTGACAATATGACATTATATATTCGCATTCCATAGTGTTTTTTGGTATTACATGTTGGTACTATTGGCATTGTAACTCTTATTTTAAGAATTAAAATATGATACTCGTATTTTGGTGCTTTCTTTATATTTAACTTCTAATTTAGTCTTTTTCTCAAATGAGTATAAGAAAACAATATCGGGAAGAATGTTTACATACCTCAAATAAATTTGGTACTATCTAATCTTAAATTACTCTGGAAGTTTTAAAAGAAGATAATTCCTAATAGTTTTATGTTTCACTATGAACTATAGTTAAAGGGCAATGTCAATTATGATCATTTAATTTGTTGGATAATTTTTCACCAAGTCAGTATGTGTTGCTATGCCAAAGCAAAGACATTGTTGAAAATACTAGTTCTAGATGACACTAGTAGCCTTTGCAACTTTACCCAAATTGTACGTTGTATTATTGAGTATTGATCATATGTAGATGATAATAATAGGTAAAGGCCCGGGCATCTGTTATTGTGGAACATCAATTCCAAAACAAAACAAAAAAAGTCTAAAACAAGTGATATTCTACAGATGCATGAAAGTAAAAGCACATAAAGAGGATAGTTTATTATTCAAGCTTACAAAGACCATAACCACAGCAGAAGGAAAAAAACAAACGAACAAACAAAAAAGTGCATGCATGCACCTGTTCAGATCAACTTGTGAATGGTGTTCATGTCCACAGCTTCATTCAGAGTCCCACTCTCAACATGGTCCCACCATTTGAATAGGAAATTATCGACTACGAGTCGGAACCAAGGGGACAGATGTATGCCCCCGCCGCCGTCCGCTTGGCTCACGATCTCCCTCAGCTGCTCCCTGTTCACATATTTCACATCGGCCACCTCATCGGGGTTCGGATGCACGCTCACATCCCGCACGATGAAGAGAAGGTAGTCCACTGAACAGCAGCAACAACAAAGCCACCACTCTTAGTATGCATTATCGGTGTGATTGGAAAAAAACACTATGAATGCACTTTGATGATTCCCACTCAAGTAGTGCTAGTTTTGCCTTTGAAATAAGTGTTTGATTGCCCGGGCTTTTCATTTTGGAGCTGATGAACTCCAAAATAAGGACAATGTTCAGTAAGAGTTTTAAATGACTCAATGGACTGTGAATTTTATCAGGGTATGGGAGCATTAAAAAATCAAGAATTAACTTAAATGACAGAATATGCTTAATTGACTAAACAGGTACAAGATGATGTTTGTTAAGAAAATGAAGAAAAAAAATATGCAGTGACATCTGAAAGATAGATAGTAAATTGTCTTTTCCTCTTTATTCTAAACATTTCAACTAAGTGACTCGTGAATTACGAAGTATTTTATTTGCAGCAAGTATCGATTTCGTTGTATTTTTATCTTCATTTTTACCAAAAATCAACTCATGAACGACATACTTCTTAATCATCAAGAGATTTAGCTGAATCGGCAAAAGAGAAATATGATTTTTTTTGTAGAAAAAATGGTTGATAATGATAAGCAGTCATTTTAATAGTAGACCAAATGGCCACTAAATACCAATAAGATGGTTTTGAAGCACAACTATGGCAGATGACAGTAATGTTTAAGGTACACATGAGTTGAGTGAAAAAAGCATTTACGTTCATGTTCTCCCCATTTCCCATCAGAAGGTGCTTTATAAAGCATACGACCCAGAGGTATGAACTGGTCGACTGGAACATCTTCAGCAGGGATGCCCAGTTCATCTAAAAGCTTTCTTTGGGCAGCATTTCTAACACCTAGACAAGAAAATAATACGGAGTAATATTCAATCAAAATATCGTTAATTGAGTCAAATTGTAGGCAATTTAGTGCACATAAACATTTACCAAGGGCATTCTCCGTAATAAGTTCAGACTCTCGGTAAAGAGGATGGCTACAGCAAGTGTTTGTCCACACCAAAGGGAAGGTAACTTTTGTTGAAGACCGTTGCTGCAAACATCACACATATCAGAACATTCATCACATGCCTTAGTGCCTTACGAATGAAAGAAGGTATATGCCAAGCAAACTAGTTGCACGTGCATTTTCTAGGAGCCATTGATAAAATATACTCACTCTCCGTCCCACAAAAACAGTCATGTTTCTCATTATTTTTGTATCCTATGAAAAGAGTCAGATTTGAAGAAAAGATATATGAACTTCCATCATACCAAATTTTTTTAATAAAAAAAAGTATGCCAAACAAATTAATACGAGTATGTTAAATTTAGTCAAATTAGCAAATAAATTTGGAAATACAACTATATTTCATATTTGATGCTTTTCATTAGTTGTACCTCAGCAACATGTAAAAGTTGTGTATTGGAGAAATATGACTCCTTTTATGGGACAGAGGGACTATTATTATGTATATGCACCTGAAGAAGCAATTCATATTTTGAATTGAACAAGAAAACACTGAAGGCCCTATGTAGCAAATTTTCAGACTCAATCTTCTCCATAAGATGGCCTGCGTATTAACCACAACAATTTGCTGACAATTAGGAGTATACTGGACTAGCAATCATAGTGCAGAAACTTGTCGAAACAAATTCTTAACTAAATGCCAATAGCTCACAAGCTTGTCAGACAAGTCTGTAGCATTAACCTAACAATTCTCTTTTTTATTGTAGTAGTAGTGCATAAAACATGTATACTAACGCCAAGTTCCAACATTTCAAATATAACCTGTTATAAACATACTTAGCAAGACCATTTGATTGCACTAGCAAATAACACATCCATCTAAAATATTAAACTGCTTTATTGATTAATTACGTGTCAAAAGAAAATTTGCAGCCTTAGATACCTTTAAAAACATTAAAATAAAACAATTTTATCTTTAAAAAGACTAAATTCAATATTTTTTTGGAAGACATACATATTGGATCTTAGAATTCAGATAATAACCACTAGATATTCAACAACAATAGAACTGAGTCACATGCTTACATCAAGACAGCTATACAATGCAGGCTGGAAAGGGCACTTACAATTGTATTTGGTATCATGACCAACAACATTATCATTCTCATCAACCAATATGCATCTGCAGCAGTTAGGAATTAATGTTAACTTTACAATGAACAGAGGTGAGAACCATCATTATTACACCATCTGTCTCAAATTGTTTCAAATGTTCTTCCCTTTTGTCCGTCCCAATTTAATGTGTTAGTTTTCATGTATGGAATACATTATGTGGCTCATAATTTTCACTACTAATTCTCATGTCCACTCAAACTGGTCACAACAAATTGGCATGGAAGGAGTATTTGTTAGCACTCAAAAAGCAAATTATTAATCTTCAGTCCCATACTATAAGTCCCATTTTCCTTTTGACTTTGTAAGCAATCTATGATACCACTGAGACAGAGAGACTATATTCGATACACATGAAGAAAAAAACAGAGGACATCTTTTGTTCAATCAGTAAGAGGAAAGATGGAATGCTGTTAAACTGAGCTTGACTTTGGATAGATTGTCCTTTAATTTCTGCAGTATTTCGTGTGTTGGAAACAAACAATGATGAAAAACACAAAAACAAGGATCGTGAAAGCATGAATGAGGAGCAAACTTAAGCAGATCCCCACAGAAATCGTTAGAGAACACGGAAGAAAACTGCGCGAACGCTTACTCCATCGAAAAACACAACTTAACAGCCTTACAGATCTACGCAATGAAACAGACAGGATTTAAAATGAAATCAATAGAGGTCGCATTGAAATCGCGACAAAGACGGACGGGAGAGGAGAATGGAATATAGTACGCACTCGTCTTCGAACATGAGGCGGCGCTGGACAGCGTCCATGTTGGCATCTGCGGCGGCGTCGGCCATGGATATGGCGGAGGAGCGAACGGAGCGGGGGGACTTTAAGATAATTGCGAGATCCGTATAGCGGCAGAGAATGTGAGGATGAAGAAGGTAAATGGTGGAGTGGAATTTAAAAAAATAATGAAGATGAAGATGAGAGAAAGAGATTTATATGGGTGGTTACGTTCAGTCAATGGCTGCTTGTGCATTGAATCATATCTTTCCGCCATCGTTCTTTGAATCTGCTTTCCATTATTCCATACGGGGAAATCCTTAATTTGTTTATGCAACTTGTTTGACTTCCCTCTTAATAAGTGGGATTTGTTTTCAATAGTCATAAACTGGTATAGAATTCAATACTGCGTACAATTTTGGTGGGTTTTTATAGATTTACTACTGTCGATTGGCCAAATCCTATTCTTAACCGGAGAATTATGCCCCATGCTTTTTCCCGCCCAATGACTATCATCTATGGACCATCGATTTTAATCTATTACATTTAATCTACAGTTATTATTAATCCATGTGTATTACTCGAGATAAAAAGGGAAATACTGTGTGTATTTAATGCGTTTTTATTTAATTACCAAAATTAATACCGTGTGTATTTACAGCATTATTACCGTGTGTATTCCCGATTATTACCAAAATTAACACCGTGTGTATTTTAATCTATTAGGGAAATACTGTGTGCATTGTGTATCTGTTACTATTGGTATTAATTACCAAAATTAATACCGCGTGTATTTAATGCCCATAATTAATATCGTGCATTCATTACTCGAAAAAGGAAAGCATTGTGCATATACATATTTAGGTTTTAAAGTGTTATAAAAAAAGAAATTTACTTTATACGGTTCCCACCCAAACTCACACCTTTGTAAGCCGTTGATCTTTGAGGATTTGATCATCTACGGTTGATATAAAATATTTCATTAATGTAGACCTACAGCAATCTAAAAATGTAAGAATTTAATGCTATATTATTACTTTGTTATCATTAAAGGAGAAAATATTACGGCACTCTAAAAAAGGTAACAATTTCCTACTATATTATTACCTTGATACCACTAAATGAGGAAATAAATACAAAATGGCAAGAATTAAATAGGAAATGAAAAGCAATTTTTTCAAATGGAAATAATAAAAAATAAATATATTAATGATAATGTGTTTAAAGTTTTGTAACATGACTCAATAAAAAATCTAATATATTACATTTAAAAATTTGTACGTATACATTACTATATATAAAAATAATAATACTAATTATTATTAAATATAAAATCTATTTTAATTAAGGAAATAAAAATCAGGATATAAAATACTACATTGTTGTATATAATAAAATA